TCTAACACCATTTTCTTGAGCACAGGATCTCCTCAGGGCTGTGTCCTAAGTCCACTGTTGTTCACCTTGTTTACCCATGACTGTTGTGCCAGGTTTGCCACCAAGCATATTGTGAAGTATGCGGATGATACAATAATAGTGGGCCTTATTCAAGATGACAATGAGTGTGCTTACCACAAGGAAGTAGAGGGTTTGGTGAACTGATATAACAAAACAGCCTCATTTTAAATGTAGGAAAAGCCAAACAGATCATTGTCGATTTCAGAAAAGGCAGGCACAGCCACACACATCTGTGTATTAATGATTCACCTATGGAGCATCAACCATCAAGTTTCTGGGTGTGCAGCTAACGAGTAGACTTGCTTGGTCACTCTACAGTGAGACACTGTAGTGAGACATTAAAAATGGCACAACAGCGCTGCATTTTCTACATCGCATGAGAAAAGCACATTTTCCTTCCCCTGTCCTTACCCCTTTCTACAGAGGGATGATCGAGAGCAACCTGTCATATTGCATTACTGTCTGGTTTGGAAGCATTACTGCTTCAGACAGGAAGGTGGTGCAGAGAGTGGTGAGGATGGCTGAAAAGATTATTGGCAGTTCCCTCCCTTTCATCCAGGACATAGCATATAAGCATTGCTTAAGCAATGTCTGCAGGATTGTCTGTGACACTACACATCCTCTTCGTGACCTGTTTTCCTTGTTACCCTTTGGAAGGAGGCTTCGTGCTTCCCGAAGCAGAAGATCCAGATTCAGTCATAGTTTTGTTCCATATAGCATCAACCTTATGTATATGGATATGTATAGGTATATATGTGTGTTATGTATAGGTATGGGTAGATATATACTTTCTTTTGAGAGCAGACAACAGAATTTAATTTTTAATGTGGGCCAGTGTGCTCATAGTAAAAAATGACAATAAAGGTTATCTTATCTTATAAGATAGGATAGGATAGGATAGAACAGGATAGGAGCTAATGTAAAGTATTTATGAGGTTAATTCTAGTTAACAATTTCCTGAGTATTTTTGACTAAATTTAAATTTTCCAAGACAATTCTTCTAATTCCAGGGCAACAAAATTAAAATACAGTTTGAAACAAATGGTACATAAATTGTGTTTAAAGAAACAATCCTGCAGTATTTCAATAACGTACTGTACATGGTATTTATTGCTTAAATGACATTTATTTTCCATATAATGTTCAGTAATGATATATCACTAAGAGTTCAATTATTATAAACTTCAACTCCTTTTTTGCCATCCAGTAAAACGCTGCATGATTATCAGTATTTAAGTCTTTCTGATCTAATAAGGAAAGTGTATTTGTTTGTACTTCCATCATTGCAATTTTTTCTCTCAACAAAAGTGTCAGCTATCTTATATTGGGAGCATATTAAAAGTATGTATGAAATGTATTTGATTTCCTCCATCCAACATGGAGGACAAGAAACAGCTTTCACCAGCAATATGGCTGAATTTGCCTTCACATAATGCAGGTAGGAGACCAAAGTGAACACTTTTCTATAGGGCTTTGAGGTCAGAATATGTCAACTGGATATATAGAAATGGCAATCATAGATTTCTTTGTGCCCAGTAGTAATGAAAACAATGGCAAATAAATTACATCTTTTCAAAGCTTTATACTGCTTACTCTTTGTTTAGGGTCTTTTTAGATACTGTATCTCTATCCCCATAAAAATTACAAATTACAACCACAATCATTAAGATTTGTATTAAACATTTTCTCCAATAAGTGTGACTAGAATTAGGATTAGCATAAGATAACTGAAAAAAATATTGCATTTATCCAGTAATAAAGACTTTAATTAAAGGCATATCAAATACTAAATCTCTTAAAATTTAGTCTGTGTTGTCATCAGTGGACCAAAATCAGTATCTGTGTATGGGTAGATTTGAGACCATAAACTGAGCTATAAATCTCAAAGCATGTAAAACAATTAGAATAAGATCCCCTCTCTAAACAGTATTAAAATTTTTGAGCCTAGCTATTTAGTTTCCTGAGTTACTGTGTTTTTATAAATGTATTCATTTTTTATAGGAATATTGTCCCTATATAGCAGGGGTGTTAAACTGCTGGCTCGCGAGTCAGTTTCATCATACTGAAGCCGCGCCCACCCCATTGCTGGCAAAAAGAGTCGCGATATGTCGCAACACGTGACATGACGTGGTGAGTTTGACACCCGTGCTATATAGCTACCAATTTTGTGGGTGCTTAGTAGTTTGAAGACAGTACCTTTGTCTTCTGGTAATTTATCGACAGATAATTTATCCCTTACAAAAGAGCTAAAGGCCATCATATACTCTTTAGCCAATTGGTGCTAATAAATATAGCTATATGTGACATAACTGCTTTTCACTGACCCACCAAATTAGGTCAGTGGTGCTCTTTTTTGATAATTTCTAATATAAAATATAAAAATTAGACAGTCTATGTTAAGATGCAGCCTTACTTAATCCCTTCCTGCCATAGGATGGGGAAGAAAATTGTCCCTGTTATTACGTCTAATCTGAAGAGGAGCAGCCACTTTCACCTGTTTAGTCAACTGGAATCACCAATAATCTATTGAGATCCTTTCAGATTTTTTCCAAGTCATATCACAGAGAATGCAATCAAAGGCTGGTTTTTAATCTATAAAGGCTACATAAAATAGTCCCTTAGATAGAATAGTATATTTTTCTGTAAGATTAATGGTTTAACAATGGCATATACAGTAGGGCTTTTCTCTTATTAAAAAAGCTTGCTCATGTCTTCTTCTAGTCATTTCACAAGAAGCAGACTAGCATACAATTTGTGATGATATTTAATGGCTCCTAGTACAATAGTTAATTGGGTCAGCTCTATTACTATTTATTAAATGGAACCTGAGGAGGGCAACAATACATAGGTATTTAGAGTATGGCGGTTTATTTATCCACCCAATAAACACTGGGTATATCTTGAATTGTTATCTGAATTAAAAATATTAACACATTCTGAGAAAGATATGCCATCTATATATGTTTGTGTACTAGGCTATAAACAATACATTTTAAAAATATATTTCCATTTCCAGTTTTTCTCATGAAAAACAAAACAGTGCAGAAACATTCATTTTGCTGTTAGTTGTGAAATATTGAGAAATGTTATCTTTAGACGCGATAAATATGGAGGTTAATCTGAAGACACCAAGGCGTACTTGTTAAACAGAGAGAAGACAACAGAAATGGATATCTTTTCCCCAGGGAATGTCCAGACGCAATATTCCTCAGAGTGCTCAACCTATTTGTCCTCCATTTTTGCTGGAGGAAGAAACTGGTGTTTGTCTCGGTAGTTGATTAATCTTTCAACTATCTTGTTGGTGCTACAGTTCTCTCCATACAGAAGTTGGAGCCAATTCAAAATAATCTCGCTCGTGTTCTTTGCACAGTTCCAGGAATACCTGAACAATACAATAAATCAATAACTTCAAAGGAATTACACATACGTTACATTAGATTTATAAACTGCTAACATTGATTCTGACTCCTATCTAGGCACATCTGAGAATATAAAATAAGTGCATAATAGATTATAGCAGCTTATGTCTGTGTTTTGTTTGAGGTGGAAACACAACGGTAAATTTATCTATGTAAGGGTAAAGCATTAAAATGTTTTGTTTCTTTCCAGTATGCTTCTGATGTTTCTGTAATTCCCTTTACCAGCACTACAAAGATACCATAGCGCTTAAGATCCTCCCTTAGCCTACAGAAGGTTGCTAGTTTAAATTTAATTTTTTTTTAAAATTTAAAATAAGTCTTACAATTGTTCCAGTCACTTAAGACTGAAGAATTTCACCTCCTGCTCCCAAATAGCCAAAATACCTTATAGAACAGCTTTTTTATTCTGGTATGTAAGAGAATATTTTCTCACTATAAGTACCACTATGTTATTTGAATATCTAAGCCATTACCTGTTCCAAAGTGTTCAAAGAAAAGCTGTACTCTTCAAGACTGAAGTGTTGTTTAGCTGTGTAAATAAAATATTATGTCAGTTATAGCTGGCTTATTTATGTCTGACTTGGGTAATAATTTGCTTTCCTTCCCCTTTGCATGATTACTTTTTCTACCCAACATATATCTCTTTACTCACTGTGATAGCATCTACACAGATTTTTGAGAGTTAACTTAGTGCTTTATCCAAAGTACTCTTTTTGATTACCCTTTTTGAGAAACTCACACTCAAAGCTAGGGGTGGAGTTGGCAAGAAATCATAATACTGCATGAACCTGTTCATTGTGGGTAGCTGAAATTGAGGTGGCCAACAAATTTGCCCCTGATCTAGCTGCCAGGCAGTCTGCAGGTCCTCACAAATCACTGCAAAATGTATTCAAACATACCATCTTCTAGCATGGCAAAGGCTCTAGAGAGAGGCAGGGCATCTTCCATTGGGATCTTATAGACCAACAAAGTGGATATCCTAAGAGGAAGGGAAACCAATCATTAGTTATTAAACTGACGCAAAATGCTAACATAGAGCAACCAGATCTACTTGTACAGAAAAAAAAAAGTTGGCAGGGAAGGGAGGATGAAGAATAAATCCACAGCAATACTTTGGGGGCACAGTTATGAGTGTTTATTTGGGAAGGAATCTGCATGCAAGATGCCTTATATGGCAAGGAAAATACACATTACCTCCTTTGCAATAGTGGCAAATATAAGTAGGTTGGGTGTAGGATGAGGGTGAAGGTTTGTTCTCCAAGCTTGTGGGTTGGTTTCCAAACATTTTGTTACCAGTCTAACATCTTCAGCGGAGTTTAGGGGATATCAGCGTCAGTGTTCTTCTGTTTATAAAGGCGTTGTGTGGTCAGGAGGTCTTGTGAGGAGTCAGGTGTGGGTGTGTCAAGTGAGGGTCGTAATGGGTCTTGTGATGGGTCAGGTGTGAGTCAACAGTGGGAGTCTTGTGATGGGTCTTGTGATAGGGAGGTTACATCAGATGAGGTGAAGTGCTGGTTAGGGCGGCTTGCGTAGGTTGCTTGAGGGTTGGAGCTATCTCTGGTTAGCTATGTGGTTGACTTGGATTCTGAGGGGTTTGAAGGCTGGTTGTAGGTCAATGTGTCTGTTAATGGAATTGCTTGTGGCGTGCCAAGCTTTGATGAACTCACAGGTGTGGTGGGTGATAGCACAGCTGATGATTTTTGTGTTGCTCCAATTGAACTGGTGCTGTCAGTGTGGATAGAGACTAAGGATTAAGGATTGTGGTGTTTGACTGCCACTCGGTATTTGTGGATCCTGGTTTTTAATTAATTGATGTGATGTTTGTCCCAGGTAGAATTGGTTGCAATTGTTACAGTTGATTTTGTAGATTACGTTGTTTCTTTCGTCCTTCTGTATCCTGTCTTTGGTTCTGGATAATTCCTGGCAGAATGAGGCTGTAGGTTTCTGGGTTATTACTATTCCTAGAGGTTGGAGAATTCTGGCTGTCATTTACAACGCCCCTTTTGTGTATGATAGGGTTAGTTTTATGTGGGGTGTTATGGGTTCTGTGTGTCAGAATACAAAGTTTTTTGGATAGCTGTTACAGAGAAAGACATCAAGCAGCCGTTTCTCTTCTCCTTTTCTTAGTATTATGGCGCTGCAGTGTGTCCTGGCCCTTCTAAAGAGGGTCTGGATACAGCTTCTTTTGTGTGTGGTAGGGTGGTTGCTTGCAAAGCTAAGGATCTGGTCTGTGTGCATGGGTTTGCAGTAGACATGGGTTTCTTGTTCTCTGTTGTCTAGTCTCCCTATGTTGATGTCGAGGAATGGGAGTCTGTTGTCTAACAACAACAACAACAACAACAACAACAACAACAACAACAATAATAATAATAATAATAATAATAAAGTTGGAAGGGACCTTGGAGGTCATCTAGTCCAACCCCCTGCTCAGGCAGGAAACCCTATACCATTTCAGACAAATGGCTGCCCAGTCTCTTCTTAAAGACTTCCAGTGTTGGAGCATTCACCGCTTCTGGAGGCAGGTTGTTCCATTGGTTAATTGTTCTAACTGTCAGGAAGTTTCTCCTTAGTTCTAGGTTGCTTCTCTCTTTGGTTAGCTTCCACCCGTTGCTTCTTGTCCTGCCTTCAGGCGCCTTGGAAAATAGCTTGACTCCCTCTTCTTTGTGGCAGCCCCTGAGATATTGGAAGACTGCTATCATGTCCCCCCTCGTCCTTCTCTTCATTAAACTAGACATATCCAATTCCAGCAACCGTTCCTTATATGCTTTAGCCTCCAGTTCCCTAATTATCTTTGTTGCTCTTCTCTGTACTCTTTCTAGAGTCTCAACATCTTTTTTACATCATGGTGACCAAAACTGGATGCAGTATTCCAAGTGTGGTCTTACCAAGGCATTGTAAAGTGGTATTAACACTTCATGTGATCTTGATTCTATCCCTCTTTTAATGCAGCCCAGCACTGTGTTGGCTTTCTTGGCAGCTGTAGCACACTGCTGGCTCATATTTAAATGATTGTCCACTAGGATTCCGAGGTCCCTCTCACAGTTGCTACTATTGAGCAAGGTACCCCCTATACTATATCTGTACATTTGGTTTTTCTTGCCTAAATGTAGAACCTTACTTTTTTCACCATTGAATTTCATTTCATTCAACACCCAGTGTTCGTCTGTTCAGATCCTCCTGTATTTTAAGCCTATCTTCTGTAGTGTTGGTTATTCCTACCAGCTTGGTGTCGTCTGCAAATTTGATGAATTCCCCATCTATCCCCTCATCCAAATCATTGATGAAGATATTGAAGAGCACTGGGCCCAGAACAGAGCCCTGGGGCACCCCACTACACACTTCCCTCCATGTAGATGCGGTTCCATTGAGGACCACACGCTGAGTACGGCCGGTCAGCCAGCAACGAATCCATCTGGTGGTGATGCTGTCTAACCCACATTTTTCTCTCTTATCAAGTAGTAGGTTGTGATCTACTTTATCAAATGCTTTACTGAAGTCCAAGTAAATTATACCCATAGCATTCCTCTGGTCCACTAATTTTGTCACTTGGTCAAAGAATGCAATAAGATTTGTCTGGCATGACCTGCTTTTGACAAACCCATGTTGGCTTTTAGTAATGACTTTGTTTGCCTCTAGGTGTTCGCTGATTCGTTGTTTGATTATCTTTTCCAGAATCTTCCCAGGTATTGAGGTCAGGCTGATAGGTCTGTAGTTTCCTGGATCTATTTTTTCCTTTTTTGAAGATGGGAACTACATCAGCTCTTTTCCAGTCCTCCAGTAGATCCCCAGTGCTCCAGGATCTTTGAAAGATATAGTTCAGTGGTTCTGAGATCACATCTGCCAGTTCCTTGAGAAAATCCATCTGGTGATTTGAACTCATCTAGGCTGGACAGGTGCTCACTTACCATTTTCCTGCCTATCTTAACTTGTGTTTTTAATTTTTTTTTTATGGTACTGTTTTTGATAGGTTGGACTATTTTTTTCCCTTTGTGTAAAGACAGATGCAAAAAACAAGTTAAATAGTTCGGCTTTCTCCCTGTTGCTTGTCACTTTCTTGCCACTTTCCCCCACTAATGGACCAATCATTTCCTTAACTTTTTTCTTGTTTTTTACATGCTGAAAGAAGCTTTTTTGTTATTTTTGACTTTGGTCGCAAGCCTTAGTTCGTTTTGAGCCTTAGCTTTCCTCACTTCATCTTTGCAGACTCGGGCTATTTGCTGTTTCCTCTTCAGATGTGAATTTGATCCCAAGGAATATGTTATTGAGTAGGTGGTGTGCTTCTTCAATTTGGGAGCATTTGATGATGACGAAGGTGTCATCGATGTAGCATGTCCAGAATTTTGGTTGGATGGTGGGTGGAGCTATAGATTTGAGTTGTTGCATGACTACTTCTGCAATTAGGCCTGATATGGGTGATCCCATCAGGGTACCTTGTACTTGCTTATAGATTTTTCCCATTGAACTTGAAGGCATAGATCCAGAACTTTCATGATGGTTTCTGTGGACATGGAGTGTTCTGTGGTAGCATCATTTTGTGGGTATGGTGTTTAGTAAATAGGTGGTGTATGGTTTGTTTAGCCAGATTGATGTCTATGTGTGGAGGAGACTTGTGGTTGCATGTGCTTTCTCTCTAGTGGTGTTAGCTATTTTTCTTTTTCCAATTTTCTTAGGGTGTCTTTTATTTTGTTCTCTAGTTGTTTTGTCACATCATTGTGGATTATTTGGTAGGTGTTGATGTCGTTTAGATGGTTTTTAGCTTTGCTGATGTAGTTAGTTCTGTCCATTACCACCATCAGCCTGCCTTTGCTGGTAGTATGATGATGCTTTTGTCTTGTTTCAGTGTCTTTAGTGCTTTCTTCTCTTTTTGGCTGAGTGTTTAGTTTTGTCTGTTGCATTGCACGTTGGGGATGATTGTTTGTCTGAAGTCTTCTTGTGTTACACATTACCTCCCTTTGTATCTAGATATATGATTTTTCCACAGTATTAAATCTTTTTAATGTGAGGTTGATAGAAAGGAACATTTACACTTCCATTTACTTAAACTCTCCAGCTATACCAGCAGTTCCCAACCTTTTCTATACCGCACACTCCTAGAACGCTTCTGATATATTCTTGCACCCCTTAAAAAAGTTCGAAATAACGGCAACAAATTATGTATATGCACTATAATTTTGAAAACCCAAGTTTTCACACCCCCTGGAATATCGTCTCACACCCCCAGGGGATGCGAGCACCCCTGGTTGGGAACCCCTGAGCTATACAGTAGTTGATGGTAATTTCAGAAAACAGCTTCATGCGAGAACCTTAATTCAGCTTAGAAAATGCACACTAAAGCCAAATACATCAGGCTGTATTAGCACCTTAATCAAAGGCGGAGTGAACAGAGGCAACAGATGAAAACCATATTCAGCTGGTTAATTTGACCCATCCCATAAGCAAAAAAAGTTAAGAAATTTACTATCAAAGAATAATATGGAATGCACTAATTAAAACTTTTTTAAAAAAATCTGTCAGTTTGCAAAGAAGTTACCTTTCTTGACGTGCTGCTTGTGGGAAAATGTTTAGAATCTGAGTATTCACAAGATCTCCTTGTTCTACTCCCTTTACTTTTATTTGTAGCAAATAATTTTTCCCAAATTTGCTTTTCAAATACTGAATTGAACCAAGGCACCTGCAGAAAGAAAAGATTACCATTTACTATATGGTCTCAAGGTGTTCCTAATTGAGACATAGATAGTCTTCACTTAACAACAGAAATTGGGACTGGAATTTCCATTGCTAAGAAATATGGTTGTAAAGCATGATGTCATCTGACAGTATTGCTTAGTACAGCAATTCCTGTACTCCCTGTTGCCATTGTTAAGCAACAATTGTGGGTTGTTCAGCAAGGAGCTCTTTTCAACTTCCTGCTGACTTCCAACAAGCAAAGTCAGTGGGGAAGCCCTCAGGGAAGTTGCAAGTCCCAGATAGTTCACAGGCAGACCAGTGGGCAGATAAATGGCTATTGCCAGGGTGCGGACGTGACAGTGATGGTATCTGTGAATTCTATTTTGAAATATAGTTTATTTCCACTAGTATTTCATGCAGCCGCTCTTTCCCATGCATTCAGAGAATATCTACAGTATATGAAGTTATTGTGTGCTATCCCAATTCCCATCAATCATGAATTTTGCCCATATGGGAAGTGGTTTTACTTAGGTAATTATCCAAGGTGAATGCATACTTTGGCCCAGTTTGGGCATTTGTTCATGTGTGAGGTCTTTGCCCATAAAAAAAGTTCACCCTTAGAGCACCTGCTATCTGTATCAAACACACACAAGACATCTGTTACCATTGCCCATATATGTTTTTTCTCTATGTGATGTGGTATCTGTGTAATATCTATAATATCTTCTCTACTCTATTGTGGAATTATCTGAACTCCTGTGTAATTCATTTAGTTTGAGCATTTATCCTTGTATCCTCTCAATAGACTTAGAAGTAGAAAATTGGTAGTTAAGCAATTACTAGAAAACATATTGATAGCTTCTTTGAATTAAAAAATAAAAGCAGAACAAGAACAATCCTTTAGTTCATTCACTTTGCTTCATGCAATTCTCTATTTATGTTTCATCTATACTTTCTCTATTTGTGGTAACCTGTTATATAGATAAAATATTTAAGGAAGCCCACCTGAGCTGTCCAGACACCATGATAGCTATTCGGTCACACAACACCTCTGCTTCCTCCATGTGGTGAGTTGTCAAAATGACTCCTTCATCTTTCTCCTGCAGCATAGTGTGAATTGCTCTCCTGTTGACAACAAATGGCTGAGGAAGTTTAAGCAACCTTAAAAAGCTCCAAAGGCCTTCTCCGGCCATTGCCATTCTGTTCTGATCCTGCATAACTGATGGGCACATCTTCCATGCCAGAAGAAAAAAAAATACCCCCATCTAGTCCCAAATTAATTTGCATGAAGGAATTGTAAAGAGGGAGAAGAAAACCTGCATCTTTTTCTCCTTACCTCTCTCTCTTTCCCCACTATGGAAAATGATTAAAGTCTCCTCAAGGGAGACTCAAGAGTTTTCTCTTTTAACCTTTTGGATCATGAAGAGAAGATGGAAGAGAATCTGCCATTTAGGAGGAAACTGGTTTTCCTCAGCATGAGTCAGATTCATTATCTGCACAGATAGGAACATAGTAACATTTTCCAACAGTAGCTGAGATATTCTAGAGGTATGAATGGGAAATATTTCCTCTTGGAATATTGTCAGATGCTTTTTCTGTATTCAGGTGTAAGAAGTAATGTTTAGTCATTGGCTTTAGATATTAATTATAGAAGGGTTCCCCACCCTACGCAATAGAATTAAAGGAGAAAGGAAGGAAGGAAATGGGGAGACTGGAATTTGTCTTTTTATAAGAGTGCAACACTTATTCTAAAGGGTTAATCCCTGAATCACTTACCACACCTGGCGCTTCCCTTTTGGATCCAGGCCTGTGGTTGGTTCATCCAAAAGCATCAGAGTGGGATTACCCAACATGCTCAGAGCAAAGCACAGCTAAAATGTAGAAAATGAATCTCATCTTAGAAATCATAATATTTCATGCCAACATAGAACAGAAATGTGAAGACATAATTTTAAAAGAGTATTTGTAAAGTACTCTTCAACTACACATTTTGAGTCTGTGAAGCTCCACAGGAATATGTCAGAAAAAAAGACTGCAGAAATGAAATCAACCAATCAGAAAATGTCAAAAGATCTTGTTAGTTTTATATGAAATTATCAAGGACCAGGATGAATAAAGTGTTTATTAATAATGAATGTAGATGCCTTCAATTGGAAATGCATAATCAGCACCAGGAAATTAAAAAAGTCCATTATACCTCAATACTCTACTAAATCCTAATACTAACATTCCTCATCTTTCAGTTTGTTCTAGACAGCTGAAGTCACCTTGACAAAATTATGAAATATGACATCATATTTCCTGCCATGTATTATTTAGGACCACACTAATACTTCTATGATGCTCCTGTAGAAATATACCAGAGTTTGGAATATTTTACAGCGTGCATGAATCAAGGTAAACCTTAATATTTGAGAATGAATTTTTGAACTTACTAGAGGGTAATTTCCCAATCCATAATTTTTAATTGCATGCTACACAGAACAGAACATCTCTTAAGCAAAGTCCATTTTTAATATGTCAGTATTGTTTAACTGGCTGCTCTGTGCTGTCCTCTGATTTTCCAGAAGCTCATCTTATTATTCCCACTGTCCAATTGATTAAAAAAATGTAATATTTCCAAGCAAAACATGAGCCAATCATGTGCTATATAAGGTTTGGTGCTTAACAAAGACTGAATCCAGGTTTCCAGGGCTCCAAGCATAGCTGTCCATGCCATTAGAGCTGCCATACTGTATTAGGCATTCTCTTCTTGCCACTATCTTATGAAAATTTGCTTTCAAGCAACACTAACATAGCCTGCACTTTCACACACACAAAAAAAGATCACATAATGCAAGAGAGAAAGCAGTAGAATGGCTGAGAGAAACAAGGGGAAATAACAAAGAGCAGCAACCCAATTGTTCTTGATGCTGCTACCAAATGTTTACCAAACCTTTAGTATCTGTCCATTAGTACTAGAGTAACAAAACACGGAACTTACTTTTCTGGTTAATCCAGCTGCTAAAGTCTTTATTCTCTTTTTTAAATGCCCTCGGAGTTCTAGAGCTTGAGATATTCTAAAAACAAAGCAGAATTTACAATGTTTAATCTATTCTGCAATTGCAAACACATTAAGAACATTAAAGACATTCCATTGTAATATTGTATCCTATGTAGAAATTTCAATTCTGATGTTCAAGAGCTGCAAAAGGAAAAATCAAAACTGAAAATAACTACTTAATAACTTATAACTACTAATATGTTTGTTTTGAATATATAAACTGACTTCTATTAATAACAAATCTTGTGGCAGGGATCTAATTATTAAAAAAGGATTCTTTGTCCATACCGATTAATGGCCATAATAGCATCATCTTTCCTTATTCCTTTTACGGCTGCAAAAATCTCCAAATGTTCTTTCATGGTCAAATTGGACCAGAGTGCATTCTCCTGAGGACAGTAGCCAAGAGCAACATTTTCTTCTGTCGCAGCTCCATCAGCTCCTTTAATCTGCACCTGTTCCAATGTAAGATATTTGAAATATCAGTAAGGTGACAAGGAATGTAAATGAAATGCAAGTATTCTATACTAAATTAGTGCACTCAGAACCAAGTCCAAGAAAGATGAAGAGATATAGCATAGGGCTACATCTAATGTCAAACTGTAGCTATTAACTAGTCCAAAGTTATTTCATTTTCTTTAGTTTTCTAAATTAAATAAGTTTTACAATGCAATATAAGTAGGAGGAAGAGCAAGACATTCTCAAACTTTACTTTTTGTTTTTTCCAACTCAACAATATAGAAAATGTGAAATGGACTCTGGACTCTGGACTCTGTCCACCTATTGATCTTTTTTCCAGAATGGAAACTACCTTTTGGGAGGAAGGAAAGAAGGAAAGAAGGAAAGAAGGAAGGAAGGAAGGAAGGAAGGAAGGAAGGAAGGAAGGAAGGAAGGAAGGAAGGAAGGAAGGAAGGGATACAGAGAAAACAACATTCCAGACAGAAAAAATCTCCCAATGCTCCTAGTGGGTGAGTCATTTGGGCAACAACTTTGAAAGCTGCCAACTGCTCCATTCTTAGGCACATACTCCATCCTGATCATATGACTGAAAGAAGAATATAGAAAGCCTACCCACTCCTCTCCTATATAGGCACTTTCATATACAAAGATGTCAGAAAAAGAGAAATCAAAAACATAGAAGACAGACACAATGCATTACTCTGTAATACAGAAAAAAATCCAGGTGTTCCCTATGGCTGCAGCTGGAAAAAGGGCTGGGAAGAATTCTAGAAGCTATGTCCTTCAAGTTATTTCTTGTTAAAATGATTAAAGTTATGTTTACCTGTCCTGCACTTGGTTCTGTGTCTCCTGTTATCAAGTTAATTGTTGTACTTTTACCAGCTCCATTGGGTCCCAGAAGCCCTAAAATTTCTCCTACAAAGTAAAATATTTCCATTAAAATAGAGCCAAGTGAACTGATAAAAATTAATTAATAAGAACTCAATATAAACTGATTTATTACATTATTTATTTAATGAGTATTGAAGTACCTTGGTTTATCTTCTTGAGTTGTATTCAAAACTATCAATCAATAAAATCTGTATCAAAGAGATACAGTACTCATATGTTACTGGAAAAGAACTCTGTCCCAGAATTAGTTTGTTCTCCTCTGACAGTTAGTTGTAGCCTCTCACTGCACCCCCAACTTATACAATTCATTCAACTTCCTGTTGTAAAGAATGAGGAAAACATCCAGGAGGAGGAATGAATGAAAAAGAAAATTCTATTGCTTATATGAGGTTTCACCTACATACCTTTAACAAAACAAGTCTTGCTTCCAACTACATGCACACTACTATATTATAAGAAAGAAAATAAAAAGAAAGATATTCAGAATTTTTGTTCTGTTTAAATTTCTTTTATTTTAAGCTTATTCTCTTTAACATATTAGTCAGATATGATAAGTCATTTAGGATTGTTGAGACGTTAGTAGCAAAAAATCAGAATCTCACCACCCCAGCTCTGTTCTAAAATAGGTAAAAAATATGTGTATGTTGCTGTGGGATTGTATTTTGAAACCTAAGGCTTAGAAATGAGAAATTGGTATGTCCTATCAAAGCTTGCTACTGTAATTGCTATAAAGTGCATTATTTTCTCATTTCCCTTTTTGGAGTACTTATTACAAGTGTCCTCAACTTACAACCATTCTTTTAGTGACTATTCAAAGTTACAACAGCACTGAAAAAAGTGACTTCTGACCGTTTTTCACACTTTTGACTATTGCAGCATCCCCATGGTCATGTGATCAAAATTCAAATGCCTGGCAATTGGATCATATTTATGACGATTATTGTTTCTCAGGGTCATGTGATCATCTTTTGCAACAAGCAAAGTCAAAGGGGAAGCCAAATCCACTTTACAGCCATGATACTATCTTAACAACTGCAGTGATTCACTTACCAACTATGGCAAGAAAGGGGCAAAGCTTATTTAAGTGTCTCGCTTAGCAACAGAAATTTTGGGCTGAATTGTGGTCGTAAATTGAGGACTAATTATATTCTTTTTGTTAAGTTTGCATTAAAAATGAATTTTGTGTCTTCTTGGTATGGATGGGCATTAACTATCCTCATATACTGAAGTAAAGGAAACCAAAGTTCATCAGGTCCCACAGTAGCCTTATTGTCTGCTGGGTGATTTATTCATAGAATACCCTGGTCCTCAATCATCACTCCAAAGTGGGGACTGAGAAAAGGTGTATTGTTTGACCTTAATTTGATAACAGCTTAACTTAATTCTGTAGTTCAATAATAGAATCTGATGGGAAATATGTCACATTTAATCTACCCTTACAGATCATTTGCTTGGGGAAATTCTGAACATTACTGTCCTAATTTGGCTCTCACTGTTTCAAACCCCGCAATGCTTCTCTTACTTAATTTTTGCTTATCAATGACTATAATAGATTTATAATAGAGACTGAGTAAAGAATATTGTTCATTCCAATCAAACCTTTTTTAACACAAAAGGAGACGTTTCTGGTAGCTACTTTTTTTTCTTCCTTCTTCTTCAAACAAGAGGAAAAAGTCTTCCCATGTTTGTATTCCTTGCGCAAGTCATGGACAATGATAACTGGTTTCTAAGCAGAGAAAAGATATTGCTCACACTATATACACATGACCATTTTGCACTCTTAGTTGATCTAGGTAGGGTCATACCAGGCAATCACTTTTGGTAAATTGCAGAAACAAGTAGAAGTGACTACTTCTTATCAAGAGTACGCCATTGTAGCTCAACTTATCTTTGCTGGAAGCAGATTCCCAGTATGTTCATATAGATCTTTCCCATTGTCTGCTTGCCACATTATTATCTAACTATGTGAACTATTTTGAAATAATAAGAAATATTTGTAGCTTGGGTTTTAGATTTTGGCTGTGGCTTGTTCTCCAACCTTGTTTTGATATAATTGCTGCACATTTTGTTACCAAACTAGGTAACATTATGAACAGGATTTTCTTGTCCTATTCTCCTTAGCTCATAAGTGTCTTGTGTGCCAGTGTGGTCAGTTGTTTGAAGCTATATTTTAATTCTGAGCAGCTGATTGGTTCTCTTGTTGATTGACACTTTGAATGGTCTTGCAGAAGAAATCACAGCCAAAATCCAAAACTCGAGCTACAAATATTTCCTATTATTTCAAAGGTATATGGGCGTAAAGTTGTTGAGACCTGCTATTCCATCAAAGGAGCAGTTAACAAATATATTTATTTAGATCCAACTATCGATATGTAAGAAACCAGACTATTTGAAATGCCAATCAACAAGAGAACCAATCAGCAGCTCAGAATTCAAATGTAGCTCCAAACAACTGACCACGCTGGCACACAAGAAGCTTATGAACTAAGGAGAATAGGACAAGAAAATCCTGCTGATGATGTTACCTAGTTTGATAATGAAATGTTCAGGAATTATATTAAAACAAGCTTGGAGAAGAAACCTAAGCCAAAATATATAAACTATTATCTAAACAATAATTCCTTAAACTGACTTAGACAATAGAACAACAATAACTTTGTCAGTGCCTCAGCCATGATGGTTTACAATAGAAAAGACAATACCTAGATCCCACTTATTTTAAACCTTCCACAAATGTCTTAATTTTTATTAAATGGTTTTGGACATTCTGGCGTGACATCTACTTTGCAATCTCTTTCAAATGGTCTTCCTGCATGTTGTTCCTCTTATGGCATTTGGTTTCATTAAATAGCTGCTTGTTGCTTCTTGATGCTAGTTTCCTGGAGGATTGGGTTACACATTAATTCTGTAAAAAGATTTTTGGCCTCCACCAACACCTCTCCATTCTAAGAATTGGAATCTTTCATCATCAAACACTAGCACAAGTCAAAAGCAACTCATCTCTTTTGTGGAGATTCAGCTTATGCCCATAGCCTTCTCAGTGCCTAATCCTGCCTCCTCCTTAATAGCACCTAACACCTCCTAACACTGTGTACTCTGTACACAGAAACTTGCCTATCCAGATGACCCAAAACATAGAGCACAATTTCTTTCCAAATACTATCTTGGGATTTTTGGACTGTGGTATTTTCTTATTTCAATAGTGCCTCAATACTCTTTAGACATTCAAGGCAAATATATATTTGTAGTGTAAAGGTGCAAGGTAGAATGCTATGCAGTATTGTGCATTTAGCTATATTTCATAAGCAAATCAAATATATTCTTGGAACAAGTTATACTTTTTTTTCAAAATAAAAAAAGCCAGTGCTACTTTACCTCTTCTTCATTGAGAGAAGCCAGTGCACTCTGAGCTCTTGTCCTTTCATCAAGGACATCTTTGTCATCTGCTTGGCTGAGCTCTTCAAGATTCTGATGGGTTCTTTTTCTCTGTGGAGAAATCCTAGAGATCAAAGATATAATAAAAGATCTCAAGTGATTACATATCAAAGAATAAATGGTAATTTCAGTTAGGAAGGCTTTGATATGGTCAACTGACTAATCAATAAATTATACTATTACTATCACATTTAGGAAGGTAGCAGAAGGTTCAGAACTTCTGAACCATGTTGAGATTAAATGAGAAATGATTGGAAAAATCCCTCAGCAAAATGACTATGGGGAAGACCTTAGAAAGGAAAGAAACCTGACACATTAAGTGATTTCTGGCATAGAAGGTGTGTGTCTGCAAGAAGTAAAGGAGTTTTTGTCACCTGCTTCTTCACAGATTGTAACTGGCCTTCCACCCACTTCTCCCAACAGGCAGAATCACATGTTGTCTATCTTTTTGCTTTCTCCTTCATTGACCCACCATAAATGGGTAGCCAACATCTAAATGACCACTTGATAGTGGCAACAAGTTGGCATTTATTGCCATAAAAGGTGAGTCACCAACCATGATGGACCTACTAGTAAACTGTATCTCTTCATTTTGTTTGCATTTTTTTGTTTATGAGACACATGACACATTTATCAAATCCAAATTCCATTTTGATATTCTCATTATATAACTTCACAATTGAAGAAAATTGAATTTCATTTTCTGATTTCCTACATAGCTTCAAATCATTCATATACTGTATAACAGTTAGAATGCTTTTCTACTTTGCTTCAATGGTTCATGTTCAAATGGTGGTCGCGCAATGGTTAGAATGCAGTATTGCAGGCTAATTCTACTGATTGCCAACTGCCAACAGTTCAGCAGTTCGAGTCAGCCTTCCATCCTTCTGAGGTCGGTAAAAAATGAAGACCAGATTGTTAGGGGCAATATGCTGAATCTGTAAACTGCTTAGAGAGGGCTGTAAAGCACTGTGAAGTGGTATATAAGTCTAAGTGCTATTGCTGTTGCTATTTTATTTGTTAAAAGGTTGAAATTTACATTGTGTAAAGAGGAATGTCTATAAAATAAGATATTATTGGTATATGATGACAGAGAAATTATCTAGAATGTATAAAGACACCCCTAATGTGTGTTGGAATGTAAAGAAAACATGAAGGGACATTTTATCATGCTTGATGGACATGTAAAAAACCTTCAAAAATGGATTCAAATACATACTTTGATACAGATGATATTAAAGATTAATATTCAGTTGAAGCCAGAACCTGTTCTTTTAAGATTGATGGCTAAATAGTTAGAAAAAGTCATGGAAGATTATTATAATATATGATTACTACAGCAAAATTATTATATACACAAAGATGAAATGACTCAACATTACTTACTATGAAGGAAACTAGGAAAGTTAATAATATTTTACTGAAATGGATAATTTGACTTCTTTGATTAGAAAAAAATACATTATCTACATGTATTGGTGATTAGAAGCCTCTTCTGGACTTTTTGAATAAAAATGAAAAAAAAAAAACTTCTGACAAAGAGGACTATGATGTAACTTTAGAAAGAGAAATCAAAATATATTTCTACTTATAACTATTGTGAAGAATATTGGAAGCCACTTTATCTTTTTCCTTTCTATTTTTTTTTAAAATTCTCGTACTTTTCGCTTTCTTTTTCTTTTATCTTTCTTGTTTTATATTACTTTGTATTAGTTTTTAATTTCTTATTCAAAAGTTTTAATAAAAATTATATTTTATTTTTTTATTTTATTTTAATTTAATTTATATGCCGCCCTTCTCCCACAGGGACTCAGGGCGGCGCACAACATATTTAAAACCATTAACATATATGCAATCCCCCCCTTAAAACCGAATTAAACCGAATTTTACTGTTGCGTCTTCCGAATATTTAAAACCCAATATAAAATCCACCCTAGGTCAGGTCCGCTTGCTGAAAGAGCCATGTCTTG